CCTGAACCGGAGAATGGAGAAGCTAAAGGGATCCTTTGCCCTTCAGCCACTCTTCACCACGATTGAAAGAAAGAAAAGGAGTCAAGCTAAATGACTTAAAACAAAAGCGCTTTATGGGAGGCAACCCATATGGTTTTTAACTATCTATTTCTATTTTGCAGGAGTTTTTCAAAAATCAAACAAAAATACAAAAATATTTTCTTAGGATGAAGACCCAAAGGAGACCAAACAATGGAAGTGTCCCACCCAATGAGCCCACCCTTGTACAATCAAAAGGTAAGTAAACTCTCACCTAGTATTCATTTCTAATCATGATCTTCACTCACTGATCTTAACTTGATAATCGTTTGAACCATTGCACTTAATCACATATATTTCATGGTTTCAATTGATTTACATTTTTGAGGGTTATTGAATGAAATACATAGTCACTTGTCAAAACTCATTTCATGACCTGAATTCACAGAGATTACACTATAATTTGAAGTTTGGGATCATTGACCAAGACCAAATAAGAATTTATAGTTTGTGCTTAACTCTCTTGGATTGTGAACTTCAAGTTGGTCACTTGAGGATCTCAATCTAAGAAACCATCTAATCATGATTTCAAGTGTTTTGCAAGGAGTTAACATTTGACAGGAAGGAGAATAGAGCAAACCTGTAACCAACCTAAAACCAACATGCATATGGCGGCCAAAGGGAGGTTAAAAGGAGATACAGGCCATCACACGAAACAAGGCGGCCACCACTTGGGAATGACACAGGAGGGTTATTAAAACAATTCGGTCGAAGAAAAATTCAATCCACATTCTCTCGGCCATACCGCGCACAAGGAGAACCAAATTACGGCCAACTCCTAAACGGCGTGACCGAAGTCCACCAAACTTCACAGGCGACCATAAAATCACATTTGGTCGGCAAATCCAAAAGATAGGACGGAGAAATCATCACGGATCATGAGATAGACGACGGAGCTCATTCTGGCCGATGGCGAGCAAGCAATATGGCCGACAAAACCAAATCACGGCATAGGCGCGCCAACCGGTTGGAAAACTCTTCTTTGAGCTTAACTAACACTTTTATGCAGGAAGAAACGAAAAGGAACGAGCCAAACTTCAATGGCCAAGGAAACTCCTTCCCGGAGCCGACTTGACCATTTTGTGAAGGAAGTCTCAATCCGCTCGTACAAATGCTCCCAAACTTCACCAGAGGCCATAAAATACCAGGTTGGTCGATGAAATTTCAATATAGGTCATGAAATTTTGACGGTTTGTTCTGTAGTTCACAGCACCACATTTTGGCCGACCGAATATACCAATCTCGGCCAAAACACAAACCGGCGGAAACCAAGGCCTGAAATTAAAAACTCACCGACCAATATTGCCTAAAGAAGTGTAGAATGACCCAAACCGGAACTGATCTTCATTATAAATTGGTCGACATTTGGTAACATCATCCTAAACCTTTTTCTTTTCAATTTTTCATTTGAACTTCATGTTATGCCTCTCTTAATCCGATTTGATTTCACCGGGACGGTGCAAGTTAAGTCTGGGGGGATTACTAACAATGTTTGTTCATTTTGGCGTTTTCATTTGCATTTTTTCCCTTTCATCGAGTCGTTTTTATTGAGTCAAATTTTTTGTCGAGAATCATGACCTTATCTTGGATCTAACCATGGTTGTACTAATGTTTAAGTGACCATTGAGCAGTTCTTGGCAATACATCTTACCACAGGTGCACTATGAGTTGATCGATCTACCAAAAACGCCTACATCTCTAAAGACTTGAGAAGGATCCATCTTTGACTCCGCCCTTAATGAACTTAATCTTCTCAGCTAGGGGCTTGGCATACAAATGGCATGATTCCTCATCCTCTCCATCAAATGAAAAAGTCTTAGTGAGTTCGTGCTTCCCTCTCTCTCCCCTTCAAATTAAAAGAAAAAGCGTAAGGTCCAAGTAACCGGGGATTCGGTGGCAAACACCATCAATACTCGCGTCTATGGAAGGCCTATGAATCCAAGCAACCGGGGATTCGGTGGCAAACACCATCAATACTCGCGTCTGTGGAAGATCCAAGCAAAACCTCTATAATAAAGAGAAGGAGTTGAATAAAAAAAACTTGCTACCCTAAAAAAGGGATGAATCAACTCAAGAAGTGAGAAGAGAGAGAGGAGAAACATGGAGTAAAAAGACAAGTGCCAAACAAGGGGATGAGAAAGAATCTAAAAGCCGGCTGATCGATACTCCCTAGTTGAGACCACACCTTTAGAAATGAAAGGAGTCAAGGGTGGCGAATTGGATTGTCCAAGGAGAGGTGGACCGCTTTGGGAAAATCGCAAAACTCATGGTATGTACTTTGTTCTTAATTCAAAATTTGCCAATGCTGTTTCATGTGGATTACTAAAGCATAAGTCAATTTGGATTTCCAAAAGATTTGAGAGTTCTCACGTTTTCAAACCTCTTTTCCTGCTTAGTTTGCTTGGGGACAAGCAAAAGGCTAAGTCTGGGGGAGTTGATATCACCATATTTTACATGATTTTACTATATAATTACTATGTTTTCAAACGGTTTTTGCAAGATTCTTTGCCTTTAGAGGTAGTTTTCTTGTATTTGTGGGATTTGAAGTCTTGTAGGTGAAACATCAAAAAGGATGCAAAAAGGAGTAAAAGAGCCTAAATCAAGATCCATGCAAGTTTCCAAGTCAAGAAGATCATTTTATCTCCAAGTGTTAGTTCTCGCTAGCGCGCAGAACGAAGCTTCGGAAGTTTGGCCGCGCGCGGAGGAGTTCCCGACGTCCAAAAGTTACGATCTTGATATGGAAAGATAGATACTTGAGTCATGCATCACGTCGAAGTGGAATGAAGCCATTTGGATCAACTATGAGGCCTAGAACTTATTTTCTACCGAGACATGTCCGGTAAGCGAGTAAACGAAGCCCATGGAGGATTTGGAGTGTCTAATGGCCCGAGCAGCAGCGCCAAAGGCCTTGATCGAATAGAGAAGAGGCCTGGCTAATGTTTGGAGCTTTCCTTGGTACAATGTCGGCCCATACACGACGTGGAGAAGAAGGCTTTGCTCACGGGAAACTTTCCTTTTCCGGCATGAAGAAAACCCTACGCGACTTCGCCCATATATACATGTTTTTAGCCGCTGAAGAAGAGAGTCCGAAAATTATCAAAGAGTGTACGTGTGAGAAGAGAGTTCAGAGGAGAGAAGCCCTAGGAGATCGTCCAAGAAGAAGGAGGCGCCGCTCAACTCTTGTTCTTTCTTTTCATTGTTTCCATTTCTATAAACTTGATTTTAAGAGTTTCAAGGGAGAATCCGACTTTGTTCATCAATAGAGAAGCTTTCTTCATCCCTTTATCTCTTTTAATACTTGCATAATGTTTACAATCATGCTTTGCTTGCTTGTTTGCATCATGGCCGAGTAGATCTCTTAGTTAGGCCGAGGAGATCTATGGTGGCCGTGATGATTTGATTGTGTTGCAACTTATTGGGATTTATCTTATGGATCTTCACCTTTACTTGAGCTTAATGCATGATTACTCTACCGTACATCTAGTAATCTGATCTTAGAGAAATAGAACCACGACAGTGCTGAATCTAGATCTCAAAACTAGTATTTGGTGAGCAATAGATCATAGCCAACGAAAGCTGAGTTATGGTTATTGTGAACAATTGAATCTTGATCACCTTTAATGCATGTTTGCAATACTAATAGCCAACGAAAGCTGAGTATATTAGGTTGTTTTAAACATAGTGGTTGGAGCCACGACAGTGGAAAGACCATACACTAGTGATTCATGTTCAAGACGGCTCTACACAATCCCATGCAACTATCTTTTCATCATTGCTCCATATGATTGTCCTTTGCCTAACTCTTGTTTTAAATTGTTTACAACCTCACTCACATCTCTTTTGTTTCACTTTCTCATTCTAGGTCCCAAAACCATCTATATTGCGAGCTAGCTACAAACCAATCTCACAAGGTGTTAAGCGAGAACACTTCCTCCTCGTGTTCGACCCCGACTACAACACGGCTGTGCACTTGCAGCTCATTAGTTGGGTTTATAAATTGTGAAAATTTGAGGCAATCTAAACCCGCCATCAAGCTTTCTGGCGCCGTTGCCGGGGAGGAGTTGCTTTTCCTTCACACCTCTTGATTGATTTCAAGACTAGCTCATCTCATCTTTCACTTTTCTTTGTTTTTGTTTTTCATAAAATCTTGAAAACTCATAAAAATTTCACTTACCTCTTTCTTTGTGTGTTTCTAAGGTGCATGACAAGAAGGTCCAATCCAAATACAACCATTGAAGAAGATCTTGACATTGATCAACTTGAGCGCACGCTTAGACGACTAAGGAGAGAAAGAATGAATCCAGGCGGAGAAGGCGCGCCGAATAGGCCAAACAACCCGCCCGACCAAGAGAGGAGAGCCAATGATCTTCCTAATCCAGCAGAAGCTAGAGCTGACCAGCCAGCACCGGCCAGAGACGTTCCTCAGCCCAATCCGAACGCGCCCGATGCAGCTGAGCCGCTACAGCCACCTCTTAACCCGCCGCGACCACCACCGGCGTTTGCAAATGGACATCATCGTCACGGTGACAACCAAGGGATGCCTCAAGACCAACCTCAAGCACCTCCAAGGAGAGTGCCAAACGCGCAGCATCCAAGGCACCAAACTATGGGAGACTTTGATTCTTCCGATGCTTTCTTTACGGACCGGAATCCAATCCGACCGCCTCTACCTCCAAGGAACGATTTTGAAATCAAACCACAGATCATTGCCTTGGTGAAACAAAACCAATTCCTTGGTGATCTAAGCAGCAAGTTTGGGTCTCTCTCTACTCACGTTCAAAAGCTTGAGGTGCAAATCGCTCAAACAGCCGAGGCGGCCAAGAAACAAAATGAGGTAAACACTCAAAAATTTTGTAGTGTTGTCTCATCTATAGATGGCACAATTGTTCCTACACTATCTCAAGGGGAAGAAGAAGAAAATGAGCCTAAGGAGAGGCACAAACCGGAGAGATACAGTTGGGAATCAAGAAGAGCTTACAAGAGAAGACTTGAAGGCAAGCCACTACAAAAACAAGAAGATCCGGGGAAGTTTGTGATAACTTCAAGTATCAATGGCATTCAACTCCATGATTGCCTATGTGATACTGGTGCTAATGTTAATCTAATGTCTCTTGCACTTGCAAAAGACTTGGGATTCAAGGAATTCAAGAGCCCCAAGATAAGAGTCGAGTTCGCGGACCTATCGTGCATGGAACCTTATGGAATGCTTGAAGATGTCATGATGGAAATAGGAGGTCGATCGGTCCCAACTGACTTTCAAGTCATGATTTGGGAAGGCTCAAAGAGGAATCAACTGATTCTTGGAACCCCATTCCTTGCTACAGCTGGAGCGGTCCTAAACTACTTTGGGAATCATCTATCTTTTGGCCACATCCGGCAAGATATCTTTTTCCCAAGTGTAAATTTCAGGTCAGTGCCAAGTGCGACCAAGCTACCACCAGAAGAAGCCACTCTCATACCTAAGAAAGAAGCTATGCTGCATGGAGAAAGAAGAGAGAGTGAGCGCTACCCAAAACCAAAGGAGAAGAAGAAAACATTGGAGCCGAGGCATGAAAATGTCTTTAAGGAAATCAACTCCATCTTACTTCCAACCTTTGATGAGTATGGAGCTGAAGAGGAGACTAATGGTGCACCTAATCTCTTTCACAAGATAAGAATCTTTACACCAAAAGATTCGGAGCTTAAAGGTGACCAATCCATTGAAGAGAAGCTTGAGAGAACTATGAAGCTTTTCCCCAAGGCATTGGTTTTCAAGGATGATGTGAGAGATGATCATGGCGCGACAAACCACCACAAGAGCCACTGAACCGGAGAATGGAGAAGCTAAAGGGATCCTTTGCCCTTCAGCCACTCTTCACCACGATTGAAAGAAAGAGAAGGAGTCAAGCTAAATGACTTAAAACAAAAGCGCTTTATGGGAGGCAACCCATATGGTTTTTAACTATTATTTCTATTTTGCAGGAGTTTTTCAAAAATCAAACAAAAATACAAAAATATTTTCTTAGGATGAAGACCCAAAGGAGACCAAACAATGGAAGTGTCCCACCCAATGAGCCCACCCTTGTACAAGGCGTTTCTCTTCCAAAAGGTAAGTAAACTCTCACCTAGTATTCATTTCTAATCACTCTTGATCTTCACTTGAAAAATCGTTTAAACCATTGCACTTTATCAAATATATTCATGGTTTAACTTGATTTACTTTTGATGATTGGAAAGAATACATAATCACTTGTCAAAACTCATTTCGCTCACTGAAATTACAAGAGATTGAACTATAGTTTGAAATTTGGATCATTGACCAAGACCAAATAAGAATTTATAGTTTGTGCTTTAATCTCTTGGATTGTGAACTTCAAGTTGGTCACTTGAGGATCACAATCTGAGAAACCATCTAATCATGATTTCAAGTGTTTTGCAAGGAGTTAACCATTTGACAGGAAGGAGAAATAGAGCAAACCTATCAACCACCTAAAACCAACATGCATATGGCGGCCAAAGGGAGGTTAAAAGGAGATACAGGCCATCACACGAAACAAGGCGGCCACCACTTGGGAATGACACAGGAGGGTTATTAAAAAAATTTGGTCGAAGAAAAATCCCACATTTCTCTCGGCCATACCGCGCACAAGGAGAACCAACTACGGCCAACTCCTAAACGGCGTGACCAAAGTCCACCAAACTTCACAGGCGACCATAAAATCACATTTGGTCGGCAAATCCAAAAGATAGGACGGAGAAATCATCACGGATCATGAGATAGACGACGGAGCTCATTCTGGCCGATGGCGCGCAAGCAATATGGCCGACAAAACCAAATCACGGCATAGGCGCGCCAACCGGTTGGAAAACTCTTCTTTGAGCTTAACTAACACTTTTATGCAGGAAGAAACGAAAAGGAACGAGCCAAACTCACATGGCCAAGGAAACTCCTTCCCGGAGCCGACTTGACCATTTTGTGAAGGAAGTCTCAATCCGCTCGTACAAATGCTCCCAAACTTCACCAGAGGCCATAAAATACCAGGTTGGTCGATGAAATTTCAATATAGGTCATGAAATTTTTGACGGTTTGTTCTGTAGTTCACAGCACCACATTTTGGCCGACCGAATATACCAATCTCGGCCAAAACACAAACCGGCGGAAACCAAGGCCTGAAATTAAAAACTCACCGACCAATATTGCCTAAAGAAGTGTAGAATGACCCAAACCGGAACTGATCTTCATTATAAATTGGTCGACATTTGGTAACATCATCCTAAACCTTTTTCTTTTCAATTTTTCATTTGAACTTCATGTTATGCCTCTCTTAATCCGATTTGATTTCACCGGGACGGTGCAAGTTAAGTCTGGGGGGATTACTAACAATGTTTGTTCATTTTGGCGTTTTCATTTGCATTTTTTCCCTTTTATCGAGTCGTTTTTATTGAGTCAAAATTTTTGTCGAGAATCATGACCTTATCTTGGATCTAACCATGATTGTACTAATGTTTAAGTGACCATTGAGCAGTTCTTGGCAATACATCTTACCACAGGTGCACTATGAGTTGATCGATCTACCAAAAACGCCTACATCTCTAAAGACTTGAGAAGGATCCATCTTTGACTCCGCCCTTAATGAACTTAATCTTCTCAGCTAGGGGCTTGGCATACAAATGGCATGATTCCTCATCCTCTCCATCAAATGAAAAAGTCTTAGTGAGTTCGTGCTTCCCTCTCTCTCCCCTTCAAATTTAAAGAAAAAGCGTAAGGTCCAAGTAACCGGGGATTCGGTGGCAAACACCATCAATACTCGCGTCTATGGAAGGCCTATGAATCCAAGCAACCGGGGATTCGGTGGCAAACACCATCAATACTCGCGTCTGTGGAAGATCCAAGCAAAACCTCTATAATAAAGAGAAGGAGTTGAATAAAAAAAAAAAAAAAGGGATGAATCAACTCAAAGAAGTGAGAAGAGAGAGAGGAGAAACATGGAGTAAAAAGACAAGTGCCAAACAAGGGGATGAGAAAGAATCTAAAAGCCGGCTGATCGATACTCCCTAGTTGAGACCACACCTTTAGAAATGAAAGGAGTCAAGGGTGGCGAATTGGATTGTCCAAGGAGAGGTGGACCGCTTTGGGAAAATCGCAAAACTCATGGTATGTACTTTGTTCTTAATTCAAAACTTGCCAATGCTGTTTCATGTGGATTACTAAAGCATAAGTCAATTTGGATTTCCAAAAGATTTGAGAGTTCTCACGTTTTCAAACCTCTTTTCCTGCTTAGTTTGCTTGGGGACAAGCAAAAGGCTAAGTCTGGGGGAGTTGATATCACCATATTTTACATGATTTTACTATATAATTACTATGTTTTCAAACGGTTTTTGCAAGATTCTTTGCCTTTAGAGGTAGTTTTCTTGTATTTGTGGGATTTGAAGTCTTTGTAGGTGAAACCATCAAAAAGGATGCAAAAAGGAGTAAAAGAGCCCTAAATCAAGATCCATGCAAGTTTCCAAGTCAAGAAGATCATTTTATCTCCAAGTGTTAGTTCTCGCTGCGCGCAGAACGAAGCTTCGGAAGTTTGGCCGCGCGCGGAGGAGTTCCCGACGTCCAAAAGTTACGATCTTGATATGGAAAGATAGATACTTGAGTCATGCATCACGTCGAAGTGGAATGAAGCCATTTGGATCAACTATGAGGCCTAGACTTATTTTCTACCGAGACATGTCCGGTAAGCGAGTAAACGAAGCCCATGGAGGATTTGGAGTGTCTAATGGCCCGAGCAGCAGCGCCAAAGGCCTTGATCGAATAGAGAAGAGGCCTGGCTAATGTTTGGAGCTTTCCTTGGTACAATGTCGGCCCATACACGACGTGGAGAAGAAGGCTTTGCTCACGGGAAACTTTCCTTTTCCGGCATGAAGAAAACCCTACGCGACTTCGCCCATATATACATGTTTTTAGCCGCTGAAGAAGAGAGTCCGAAAATTATCAAAGAGTGTACGTGTGAGAAGAGAGTTCAGAGGAGAGAAGCCCTAGGAGATCGTCCAAGAAGAAGGAGGCGCCGCTCAACTCTTGTTCTTTCTTTTTCATTGTTTCCATTTCTATAAACTTGATTTTAAGAGTTTTCAAGGGAGAATCCGACTTTGTTCATCAATAGAGAAGCTTTCTTCATCCCTTTATCTCTTTTAATACTTGCATAATGTTTACAATCATGCTTTGCTTGCTTGTTTGCATCATGGCCGAGTAGATCTCTTAGTTAGGCCGAGGAGATCTATGGTGGCCGTGATGATTTGATTGTGTTGCAACTTATTGGGATTTATCTTATGGATCTTCACCTTTACTTGAGCTTAATGCATGATTACTCTACCGTACATCTAGTAATCTGATCTTAGAGAAATAGAACCACGACAGTGCTGAATCTAGATCTCAAAACTAGTATTTGGTGAGCAATAGATCATAGCCAACGAAAGCTGAGTTATGGTTTATTGTGAACAATTGAATCTTGATCACCTTTAATGCATGTTTGCAATTCTAATAGCCAACGAAAGCTGAGTATATTAGGTTGTTTTAAACATAGTGGTTGGAGCCACGACAGTGGAAAGACCATACACTAGTGATTCATGTTCAAGACGGCTCTACACACATCCCATGCAACTATCTTTTCATCATTGCTCCATATGATTGTCCTTTGCCTAACTCTTGTTTTAAATTGTTTACAACTCACTCACATTTCTTTTGTTTTTTCTCATTCTAGGTCCAAAACCACCTCATATTGCGAGCTAGCTACAAACCAATCTCACAAGGTGTTAAGTGAGAACACTTCCTCCTCGTGTTCGACCCCGACTACAACACGGCTGTGCACTTGCAGCTCATTAGTTGGGTTTATAAATTGTGAAAATTTGAGGCAATCTAAACCCGCCATCAAGCTTTCTGGCGCCGTTGCCGGGGAGGAGTTGCTTTTCCTTCACACCTCTTGATTGTTTCAAGACTAGCTCATCTCATCTTTCACTTTTCTTTGTTTTTGTTTTTCATAAAATCTTAAAAACTCATAAAAATTTTACTTAACTCTTCTCTTTGTGTGTTTCTAAGGTGCATGACAAGAAGGTCCAATCCAAATACAACCATTGAAGAAGATCTTGACATTGACCAACTTGAGCGCACACTTAGGCGACTAAGAGAGAAAGAATGAATCCAGGCGGAGAAGGCGCGCCAAATAGGCCAACAACCCGCCCGACCAAGAGAGGAGAGCCAATGATCCTCCTAATCCAGCAGAAGCTAGAGCTGACCAGCCAGCACCGGCCAGAGACGTTCCTCCAGCCCAATCCGAACGCGCCCGATGCAGCTGAGCCGCTACAGCCACCTCTTAACCCGCCGCGACCACCACCGGCGTTTGCAAATGGACATCATCGTCACGGTGACAACCAAGGGATGCCTCAAGACCAACCTCACGCACCTCCAAGGAGAGTGCCAAACGCGCAGCATCCAAGGCACCAAACTATGGGAGACTTTGATTCGTCCGATGCTTTCTTTATGGATCGGAATCCAATCCGACCGCCTCTACCTCCAAGGAACGATTTTGAGATCAAACCGCAGATCATTGCCTTGGTGAAGCAAAACCAATTCCTTGGTGATCTAAGCAGCAAGTTTGGGTCTCTCTCTACTCACGTTCAAAAGCTTGAGGTGCAAATCGCTCAAACAGCCGAGGCGGCCAAGAAACAAAATGAGGTAAACACTCAAAAAATTTGTAGTGTTGTCTCATCTATAGATAGCACAATTGTTCCTACACCATCTCAAGGGGAAGAAGAAGAAAATGAGCCTAAGGAGAGGCACAAACCGGAGAGATATAGTTGGGAATCAAGAAGAGCTTACAAGAGAAGACTTGAAGGCAAGCCACTACAAAAACAAGAAGATCCGGGGAAGTTTGTGATCACTTCAAGCATCCACTCAGCTCCATGATTGTTTATGTGATACTGGTGCTAACGTGAATTTAATGTCTCTTGCGCTTGCAAAAGACTTGGGATTCAAGGAATTCAAGAGCCCCAAGATAAGAGTCGAGTTCGCGGACCTATCATGCATGGAACCCTATGGAATGCTTGAAGACGTTATGATGGAAATAGGAGGTCGATCTGTACCGACTGACTTCCAAGTCATGGTTTGGGAAGGCTCAAAAAGGAATCAACTGATTCTTGGAACCCCATTCCTTGCTACAGCTGGAGCGGTCCTAAACTACTTTGGGAATCATCTATCTTTTGGCCACGTCCGGCAAGATATCATTTTCCCAAGTGTAAATTTCAGGTCAGTGCCAAGTGCGACCAAGCTACCACCAAAAGAAGCCATTCTCATACCTAAGAAAGAAGCTATGCTGCATA